CAGTCTTCCCAGGCATAGAATGGCACAGGCCTAAGCAGAGTTGAAGGCATACCATGTTGCTTCTAAAATATTACCATTAAAGGCCATAGGATTCTTTATGCCGTATTCATGTCAGGGTGGATAGTACCTAAGCAGTTTTTCTCTCAATAAAATATTGCATACTAACCACTTCACTAAAAGAGAAACAAAATTTCATGTTAATCACAAACCCTCAGGTGTTGTTGTTTGATGCACTCTTCTCACATTTGATAGATTTGTGATTAGTAAAGATCAAATGGTAACTAATAGCCTGCAGGTCATAGATTATAATCAACACACAGATACACACACACACACACACACACACACACACACACACACCACTATTAATGCTGAAGTATTTCAGAGCACATCATTACCACACAGGCAATGTCAGATGTTTGGAACTGCACAGTGCTGTCCATAGGGACAATTGTCCATGTTTTGGCCACAGGTCCCTTCACTTTGTATCGTGTGTGTGGTACTGTGGATTGTCTCTAGCCCTTTTTATTTTGAGACAGTCTCACCAAGTTGTGAAAATATCCAGGCTGAGCTCTGGATTTGCAATCCTTCCTTTTCAGCCTCAACGAGTGCTAGGGTTACAGGTCTGCACCACCAGGACTGTGGCTCTTGTATCTTCACAGAGGATTGCTAAGGTCACTATGCCAGCATGCTAGTAACTACTAGGCTCTTCACATAAGTTTCTCTTTAAAATTTTTTTTTTAAAATTAAAAAAATGTCCAAAGGATCTTGTGATTACTTTCAGAGTCTGGATTTTCACTGGGAATCCAGATCAAGTGGGCTCTCCTCGTCTGCTCTGCAGGAGCCTCTGTCCTCCCTGAGCTCGCTGTATGGTGCCTTGTCCATTTCCCTTTGTTTCCTTATCTGTAAAATGGGAACAGTAAGCTCACATTTTGGCTTTCTTTTTTCCCCTGAGGAGTTCAGGAGAAAATGTGTGTTAAATTGCCTTGGCAGTGGTAAAAAGCCATTCCAATATGGCTATTTTTGTTATTACGAGGAAGGTCCAAATAAAAGCCATGCATTCAGGGAACTGCCTCTTCCTTGGGTTGGACAACTAAATCACCTGTTCCTGCCACAATCAAGGAGTGATTTCAGTCCTGCCTTCCCTTCAGCGGTGTTGAGCGAGGTCAGAGAAAGCAATCAGAAAGAGAACACGTTCTGGTTCAGAAGAAAATCTCTGTTCTGCTTTGGACATCTATATGTAGTTCCAAGGTTTAATAGACAGTACCATGAAGCAGAGAGAGAAGATTATTTATGAACACTAGTGCTGAAGATACGGATAGTTGGTTTGTCAAAAGTAAGGCTACATCTGTGCAGTTAAGTCTGCAAGTTGTACTAATTTGGCTGAACCAAAACCAATGTGTCGTCTCTTCTCCTGCCTTCATATATTTCTGCCCACACTCCTTGGCTTAAGAAACTTACATTTGTCTACACATGAACTAGGGTCTCTCTTATTGAATCAGTTCTCATAAGCAGCAGACAAGAGTGAATTGGGAAGAGATGGAACACACTCTATTTCTTTTAGACCAATGCTTATTTTCTTGGCAGGCCGATGCTTTTTTCTCACTTTTTGACATAATCCTAATGGTCCCATTACAATACATTTAGCCCTTTCTCTCTCCTCCATCTGCCAGCACTCTGTGTCATTTTGCAAACGGCAGGCAGGTTTTAAGTTCCGAAAAGTGAAGAACAGGCTAAATACATACTGGAACAGGATCATATATCTCCAGCTGCATTTTCAAAAATATCCACTCCTCCCCATTTTATTGTAGAGCGTTTGTTTGCAGCTGGGTGGGGAGAGACTGGGATTATGTGATACCGGGCAGGATTTTCCAAGGAGACTGAGGAATTTCTTTCATTGGAGTGCTATATTGTGACTGTTATTTTTGGAAATTCTGATTTGGCCTTGTTTAGATGATTCCCAACATTCCTTCCATTTCTTTGAGTGGGCGATTTTTTGTGGCTGTATCTCGGGTTCAAGTTCATAAATAAATGTGAATGTGCCTGAGCCTTATACAGACTTTCTGCCAACAGAAGAAGCTAGAGAGAGGAGTTGGTTGCATACACAGGGTAAATATAGCTTATGTATAGTGAACAGGAACTGTATTTTCTCAGCCCCTTTCTCACTCTCTGCCTAATGGTAGGCAGCAGCAGCAGGCAGGGGAGGAAAGGGCAGCGTGCTATGGGGCCTCTTACATTCCCTTCTCCATCACCGAGATTGAGCGGCACACAGTCCCTTCCTGGAAATGACGTGAGGCTGCCTGCCATAGCTGGTCCGAAGGAGCTTTCTCTCAGGGTGGGAGGGCTGCACTGTGTGGTTTAGGAGCCCAGAGGTAGCAGACTGTGGTGAGTTTTGCACGCTGCTGGGTGAAGCAGGTAACTTCAAGGGCACAGGAATTGAGTCCATTTTCTGGTTAAGGGATTTGGGGGTTTAGAACACCCATGTAGTCAGGCTACTATGCAGAGCTGGGGGAGAAATCTGGAGAGGTGGCTACAGCTCAGAGGAGGGTTGGTAGAGCCCCCTGCAGCTGCTGTGACCGGACTCAGTGGAGGAGGTGAGCACGGTGCCCTCCCCGTCTCAGGGTAGTTGCTTAGGTATACATCTAAGGCTCTGGATGCCTAGAAAGCACTCAACACCAGGTTTTCTCAGGCTTGCCAGACCAGGTTGAACAATCCCTAGCTTGAAAATTCAAAATCCAAAATCGAAAATGTTCCAAAACCTGAAACATTCTGCGAGTTGACATAACTCCACAAGTGAGAATTCCACACCTGAACCTTATGTGACAGGTTGTAGTCAAAATGCAGGCATGCTAAAAATAATGTAAAAATTACCTTCAGGCTATATGTATAAAGTGTGTATGAAACATAAATGAAGTTCATGTTTAGACTTGAACTCTACCCCCAAGATATCTCCATGTATATGCAGATACTGCACCCCATCTGAAATTTGAAATGCTACTGGTCCCCAAGCATTCTGGATAAGGGTTACACCTGTACTGTTGTCATTAGGGCCACATAATTCATTGTGCTGGGGACTGCCCTGTACATTTTAGGGTGTTTAGCAGCATCTCTGGCTTCTCTCCCCCCACGTTGCTGGTAGCAGCTCCCATCCCACTTCGACAACTACAAATATCTCCAAAATTGCCCCCACCTGAGAAGCACCATGGTTGCAGAAAACAATACACAGTGTTCCCTTTCCCCACCTCTACTTCCAAACCTAGAGGTACCACTGGGAAAGAGAGCAGGTATCAGATAATATGTTTTTAATATTTGAATACCACACGTCTTTATTAGATTGACGCTTACAAAGTTGTCATTCATTTTGAATGTCAACATGGTTGTATAATGGCAATTTTGTATGCTCAACTTAACGCTAACCTATGAAATCAAATTTGTGCAACCGCGGTCAAAAGGGGCCTCGGGGCAGAGTCATGCCCTGTGTTGTTCACTGACACCCTAAAAAGCATCCTCTGCAAGGGATTGCATTACCTGAGGTGGTCGGATGGGGATGGAGGAAAGAGAGCTGGAGAATGGGCTAGGATGAGCTTGAAAGCAGAGCCCAAACCCCTGGGGGCCAGGGTTAGCTTTTTATGTCCCTGGCTGTGGGAGAGGAAGAATGCAGTCCCGCTCTGAAGGATTCTTCAGAGGTGAAGGGAAGAGGGGAAGCAGACTGTGAGATACACAGACTGGATGAAGAATGGGCCTGCGGGCAGGAGGTTGCCCTGGGAGTCTCTAGCACAGATGCCGGAGCTTGCCCCACTCACTTTTTGACTTACAGGGCAGAGGTAAGGTACAGCTAGGACTCGGGGCAGTATGGGATTTCCCCCAGGGACTTGGGACACAACCTGTGTTCAGTGTGCTTTAAGAGGGAAGAGAGAAGCAGTGACTGAGCCTGCCCCGGGTGACCTTCCCCACCTGGCTGGCCTCTGAGAAGCCTGCCCATCTGGCTTGGTCTAGGTTTTCCCCTTTTGAGAAGTTCTGTGGGCATCTTATCTCACCCATGGCACTGACCCCTTTGGGCATCGGCTCTTTGCTTTCATATTTTCTTAAACATAGCAATCATGGTACCACCATGGCAAGCTTCCCAAAAGATGTGGGTTCTTGGTCCTTTTCCCTTATGTTTTTATCCCTGTCTCTCATTTATATCCTAATGTGTCCTTCTGAAAACTGGTGCACTAAAACCTGTTTTGGTTAAAAAAAAAACATTGCTGTTTGCAGTTTGATCAGATAGGAGTCCTATTCAAGGCAGAAGGGGAGAAAGAGAGGGCAATGGGAGCCTGGGAGGCTGAGACAGATGAGGGCTGGGCCCAGATAACTGTAGAAGGAATGCGATGATTCATGCGAACAGAGTGAATGCCGGGATGGAAATCTTGTGAGTTCACAGATGCTTATCTCTGTGGCTCCATTGCATGGATGAAGCAATCCAGGCGCAGTGCGACCACTTGACTCTCCACATCACAGTTCCAGTACTGGACTCAAGTCTTTTACAGCCTAAATCCAGGTCCTTTTCCCTGTTTTTCCCATCTGTATAACCAAGGGTCACGAGCTTCCAGGGTTCAGGAGTTTTAGGTCCCACACCAAAGAAAGGGCTGCTTCTTTCTTCTGCTTTTGCTTTCCTTTCATAACTCTTAGTTGGATGCAGTGCATTCAGTCGGCAGTGGGCCATGCTGTGCAGTGTCTCCTTGGGTGAGTGACCCAGGAGTAGCTGCCTCCCCGTCAGGTGCTCACCAATGAGGCTGGGCTCATTTGCCAACCAGGAAATGTGGACCCGATACAATTTTCTTAGGGTGGCAAGCCCTGACTCTGACGCAACAAACAAACATCTACATCCATTTAGGTGGGAGGGAAGAAGCAAAACATAGAACAAAGATACAGAGAGGGTGGTTCCTCCTGACTCATTACATGCTATGAGTGGTTCCTTACCACCCACTTTGTATTCAGGTCAGTTGATTTGGCTTCTGGTCAGGAAGAAGGTGGTCTATGCACCTCCACTGGCCCAGAGGCAGATTTACCAGGAAGCTAGTGAAATGTAAGTTTTGAGGCCCTTCATAGGCTCTTTCAAGTCTTCACTGTTAATTTGTATTTATAATTTTGTATATGCTTTGCATTAAAAATGCTAAATAAACTTTAGGTTTTGCAAAATGTGGGATCACCTCTGTGTGTCTCTGTAGTCAGAAACCACAGCACTCAGCAAGCCAGTGTCTCACAAATTTTCACTAAACCAGGTCGGGCAAAGCCAGAATTGAGTCCAGACTGGAAGGTCCTCACACCAGTCACTGGGTTGGGATTTTATGTTGCCTCATGCCCATGTGTACCATTCCCCTGACCCCGTGTGTGTGGATTAGAGTGACCAGCCTGCTGGCCTATTTACAGGGGAGGAGGTTCCTCCTCCCACCACCTCTGTGGTGGCTCTAAGTGGACACTCTTCTTCTGTGCTTCCTGCCTTGCAAGTGTTGACCAGGGTCACTCGCAGGGCTGTTAAAAGCTGCTGTGCCTCGCCCGGGCAGCAAACAAGGCTATTCCTGGCCCATCCATCAGCCTGGCTGGACAAGTGCTTTGGGACCAGCCTGGGTGAAAGATGGGAAGTGAGCATGGGTGTGGCCCTGAGTCACCCAACCTCCAGACCAAATGTGTCCAGAGGCCCTGGTGTGCCCAAAGCAGGCGGCCACAAGACTTGTGTGAGGAAGATCAGTTTTCCCGTGTTGTCATGGGGTGGTGGCCATGAGTACTGTTTTTGTCTCTCTCATTCATTCTTTGATTGCTAATTGATTGTCTGCTCAGGACTGGACAAAAGCCTGGGTTGTTGTTGACAGTTCTGTTTCAATAGCTAACCTCTGGTGTTGATGGATGTCAAAAAGATTGGTTCTAGAGAAGACACTTTTTTGTTTTCATTCTTTAGGTGCTTAAAATCCAGCTGAAAGCTTTAGCTTTTTTCATAGATAAATGCTATCTGATCCAAACAGTTTTGACGAACGAACAAACAAACAGAATAACACACGATCCCTATTTTTTTATTTGTTTGTTCTGTTTTTTGAAACAGGTCTTGCTAAATTGTCCAGGCTGGCCTCAATCTTGCAACCCTCCTGCCTCAGCCTCCTGTGTAGCTGGGATTACAAGTATATACCCAGCTAATTTTCCTAGTTTTGTAAGTGGAGAACCACCATCTTCCATTGGTCACTCTGTTCTTGAGAAAGCAGCATTGAAAACCCAAACTTTCTGTCTCCATCAACTTTTAGCCACCAGCCACTTGGTAGATCAAGGCAATGGAGCGTGTTCCAGGCAAACATCTCCAGTAGCTGGACCGCCAGTGTCTGCTATGCTCCTGACCTCTGTTTGGGGGAAGCGCAGCAGAGGGAGACAGATGGAGATGGGCTACAGGTGAGCTCATATTCCCACCTCTAAGCCTCTGTCCGCTCTGAGAACTGGCGCTGGGATGTCTGAGCATTGGCCCTGGGACAGCTTACAAGCTGTCCTTTTAAAGCTGGTGCCTGGGCATAGGAGGAGGCATTGGTTGGGTACAAGGTGGAAGGTGGTGAATGAGTAATGCTTTCTACCTAAGCTTTTCAAATGTCTATAGAGGCTATTGTAAAAGGATATATTTTTATAATTAAAGGTATATAATTTATAGTAGGTGTTGTCCTTATATGTTTTTCCCATCAAAGGAAATTAAAATACAATAATCATGAGGTCCTGGGAACATTATTTGACCTAAGAGGAATCCTTGTGGATGAAGAGTTTACTGGTCTTTAGGAAATGAAATATGAACACACATTCTGGTTTTTCCTTTCTCCCCCAGATCCTGGGAGATAAGATGGAAGCCACAGAGCTGGCTGGGCTGTAAGGAAAACAGCCTGATGTATCTTTCGATGTGTCTTTCACGTTCAGATTGTTTTCCCCCCAACAGCATGTGTAACTCTGAGATCTGTACCCACCCCGTATCATTGACGTGGTTTAGAGAGGATCTCACAGAGCTGGAGTTAGTGAGGCAGGACACTGGAGGAGGGAAGACAGAAAAGGAGAACGAGGCTTCCAGCAGCTGCTGGAGTGTACAGCTACCTTGGCTCTTTGCCTTCTGGCCTGGTTGCCATGGGTTAGTCGTCATTTAAATATTTCCTGGCTTCCCCTCTGGCATGGTGGATTGGGGACTTTAAAACATGGGCTCTTTCCCACCTAGGCTTGTTATGCACCTTTCCTGGAGACATAAAGAGCTTGTTTGAAGGTCCTGACCTGGCATGGGTGTTGCGCAAACAGGAGCAGGGCAACAGCACCTCTATTTGCGCAGTGCTGTGGCTAAGTAGCCCTTTCATTGCGGTAGTCAACACCTTTTGTTGTTGCCAGAGCCTTCAGGATTGATGCAGTCTGAGCTGGGCTTTCAGGTGGGTTGGAGAGGGATAAATGTGCCCAGAGCAACTTCCAGAAGGGACAGGCTGAACATTGCTTCCTTTGCTTCCTCTCTTCAGAGAATCTGCTAAGGAAAACAGAAGCTTGTTAGTCTCAATTTTGGCGATAAGTAGAAAATATAACCAGAGACAGTAAAAACCCTTTAGGAAGTTCCTACTTAACACATTTGCTTCTGTGGTTCACATTTTCACTTCCTGCCCTTGATTCTCGATTTCTTTGCTATGAAATTTTCATGAGTTGGTTCTTTTTGAAAAAAGAAATCTTAAATCACACATAATTATATTTGCTCAGACTCTACTTAAGGTGTAAACTCACTGGACTGAGTGTGTGGGGGGATGCTGCTCTGCTAAGAATCTCAAGTTCAAGTTCAAGCTCTAAAATGGGCTTTGTCAGAAGCCCACTGGGGCTGGGGTGCGGTTTTTCAGTTGGGAAGATGTGCTCAGGTGAGCTGGTTGGTGGCTGGCTGGATTAACAGCAGCACAGCTAGTTACTGTTGAAAGAGGTTAAGCTGATGGCCAGTGATCCAAATAGGGAAGGATTCTCAGCCCAGCTTTTCTGTCCTCAAATTCTCTTCCTTTGCCAACTGTCAGCATTCTGCCTGTATATGAAATCCAAAGCCAATATGACAAACTCCAAAGCAATATGACAAACTCTCCGGAGCACCTCTCTTGATTTCATGTCTTTGCCCTTATTTCCCTACTGTAAGGGAGATTTTGGGGGGTATCAGGAGGAATTGTGCATAAATACTTACATGCCAATTCTCAAACTCTTGAACAACTTTTGTTCAAACTCTAAGATGTTAAAGTTCTGTCATTAGTACACTCACTCAGTTAATATATTTTCAGTGGAAACCAATGAACCCTTTACATTGGCCCTGACATCATGTCCTGGAAAGATATGCATGGTCTCATCCTTAGGATACTAACCATCTGGGAGTCCAGGCAAGATTTATGAATGAGTCAACTGGAGAGTAATACTCGATGGCTCTACTTTAGTCTCTAACCTTGTGCTCAGCATAGAAAAGGAGATCAGCTGATTCTAATCCAGTGAAGAGAGTGGGGAAGGCTATAAGTGGCCATAACTGGTGTAGTCTGTGTGTAGAAAGTGAGGGGATGAGCCAGGTCTTGAAGAGGGCTGGCTGGAAGGAAGTTGAATGGGTTAGAAAGAGGGTACTACAAGTAGTCAGGATGGCTGCAAAACATACCCAGGAAACAGACGCTGTTGGGTCCAGGAAGAGCTATGATGAGATGAAGTGTAGAAGAGGTTGAAAATCAACTGGAGGTGAGACTTGGATTAAGCCAAGTTGATAAAACTGAGGGGGCTGCTGTGGGTTTGAGGGGAGTGACATGGTTATTCATGTTGAGCATCCCTAATCCAAAAATCCAAAATCCAAAATACTCCCAAATGAGAAACATTTTGAGCATCTGTATGCACCCTGAGTGGAAAATTCCACACCTGACCTTAAGTGATGGGTTTGCAGTCAAAACGCAGGTGAACTAAAAGTATTGTAAAAAAAATTACTTTCAGTCCATGTGTATAAAGTGTATATGAAACATCAATAAGTCTCATATTTAGACTTGAGTTCCCCAAGAGATTTCATTATGTATGTGCACATATTCCCAGATCTGAAAACAACCGAAGCCCTTTTAGACCCAAGCATTCTGGATAAGGGACGCTCTATCTGTAGGAGATCCTTAAGGTGCAGCAAAACTCATTGTCTTGAATCAGATATAGCCTCACGGGCAGGGGTTTTTTAAAAATTGATTTTGTGATGAAATATACATAGCATAAAATTTCCTATTTTAACAAGTTTTAAGTGTATAGATGAGTAGTGTCACGTATATTCATATTGTTGTGTGCAGCCAATCTTCAGAACATTTTCATCTTGCATGTTGGAGCTCCATACCCATGAGCAACCATTACTTACTTCTTCCTTATCTCCTCTAGACTTGGCAACCTATTTTCTGTTTTGTATGAATTTGACTACTGCAGGTACCTCATACAAATGGAATCCTACAGTATATTTGTCGTTTTTGTGGCTGGCTTATTTCATTTAGCATAATGTCCTCCAGGTTTACTCATTTGAACTGTGTGTCAGAATTTCCTTCTCTTTTTTTTTTGAGTATTTGAGCATTTTATTAAATCAGACGAGGAATCTCCATATTGCCACACATACGGTCTTGTGTCCCATTAATCAGGGCACAGTTCTTGTTTACAAAGATAGAGCCAGCAGGAGGGTGGCACAATGTCTAGAGCATTCACAGAGCAAACACAGCGAGATCATGTGAGTAATAGAACAGTGAATCATGACAGAGGTCACAATTCATCCTTCACCTTAAAAACACATGTGTTTTACCCAGAAAAAAATCTGAAGAGTAATAGGCTGTCACTAGTCCGATAAAATTTCCTTCAGGAACATGAAGCTTCTTACAATGGACTGACTTGTTTGCTAGGCAGAATTTCCATCCTTTTGAAGGCTTCATAATATTCTGCTGTCTGTACATACCCCATTTTGTTTACCCATTCATCAGTCCTTGGGTTGTGTCTATCCTGATCTGTTATGAATAACGATGCTATGAATGTGGGTGTACAAATATCTCTTGGAGACTTCCTTTCATTCCTTTGGGAATGTGTTCAGAAGTTGGATTGATAGGTCATATGTTAAGTCTATATTAAAATTTTTGAGGAAGCAGCATACCATTTTCCACATTTCCACAGTGGCACCATTTTACATTCCCACCAACAAGGCATAAGAGTTCCTATTTCTTCATGTCCTCACCAACACTTGCTATTATTTTATTTTATTTTTGGATAGTAGACATTCTGATGGGTGTGAGGTGACATTTCTTCCTTGTTTGGTTTGCATTTCCCTGATGACCAGTAATGCTCAGCTCCTTTTCATGTATTTGCTACTGTGTGAAAAGATGGCCATTATATATCTTCATTAGAGAGAAATCCATTCAACTCCTTTGCTCATCTTGAGTAGGGTTGCTTTTTGTAGCTGTTGACTTTTAGGGATTCCTTCTGTATTTTAGAACTTTACTAATCCCTTTTCATATGTTATTTGAAAACATTTTCCCCATTCTGTGGCTTACCTCTTTACTCTGCTGATTATGTCCTTTGATGAAGTTCTGTTTGTTTCTTTTTTCTTTTGTTCCTTGTGCCTTTGGTGTTATATCCAAGGAATCATTGCCAAATTCATTTTCTAAAAGTTTCTCCTAAGAGTTTTATAGCTTTTGGTCTGACATGTAGGTCTTTGATCCATTTTGAGTTAATTTTTGTATATGGTGTAAGGGTCCAACTTTATTCTCCTTCATGTGTATTTGCAGTTTATCCAACTTCCTTATTCATTTATTATCCTTTCCTTATTCATTTAATCATATACATAAAGGCTTAGTTTTTGATTCTCAATTATATCTAATTGGAATGCCTGTATCATACTTTTTTGATTATTATAGCATTGTAATAAGTTTTGAAATCAGAAAATATGAGGTCTTTAACCTAGTTCTTCTTTTTGAAGATTGGTTTTATTATTCATAATCCCCTTAAGTTCCATAAAAATTTTAGGATGGAGTTTTCTGTTTTTATAAATGATGCCATTGGAATTTTGATAGGGAATGCATTAAATCTCTAGATCACTTTGAAAGTATGAATATCCTAACAATATTAAGCCTCACAATTCAAGAACATGGATTTTTTTGTTTATTTGTATATTCTTTAGTTTCTTTTACAACAATTTTTTTATTGTCTTCATTATACACATCATTTGCCTAAATGGTTAAGGCTTTTCCTAAATATTTTATTCTTTATGATGCTATTGTAAATAGAATTGTTTTCTTAAGGCAGATAGTTTAGCCTTCTATGATAGTTTAGTCCCTCTATTCTATTCTGCCTTTCCCAGAAGGTGGCCAGTACTAATTAGGATGAGTGTGTAGGCCAGCCAGAGGGCCACCTTTGGCCTGGGAATGGACTGCAAC